CACCGACAATCGAGTCGAACATGTTCATTTTTTTAAATAAACTTAAAAAATTGTTCAAACTTGACTCGTTTGAAAAATGAGTTGAATCTAAGTAGTCTTATTATTTTACATATAAATGAGCCGAACTTTTTAATCTCATTTTTTTAAACAAGTTTAAAAAATTGTTCAAACTTAACTTATTTTAAAACACTAGTTTGAGGCGAGTCTTATTCAAGTCGAACCCGAGTAGGTCGGCTCAATTATTAATCCTATTCATAGTTGGGCCTAGCAAATTAGTTGCATTGTATCGTGTTGTTTTGGGTTCGTAGTACATACTAGTCAATAATAACTTAACATATTTAATTAATCATGTCAGATATTCTAACACTAACTAGTCTTATTTACTAATCATAAAAAAAATTGTCTAATGTAAAAGATTATGACATCATCACATCAAGGAATGAACAAAATTAAAAAAAAAAATCAAAAAATTTATCCATATTATACTAAGTACACAAGTTTCTTATATTTTACGTTGGTATTTTCATGTCTAACATTAATCGGCCCATTTATTAGTCATATTCGTGGGTCATGTCATTTCCAGATTACATGTCAATTCTAACCCGCTACTTTCATTTTGGGTTTTAAGTGTCAATAATTGCCACCCCAGTGTGTCTTTAATCCCTTTTGTTAACTTCTAAATTGGATGAATATGCATGCAAACCAGGCACAAGCCATTGGGGAGGCTGCAAGCCGCTTTATTCAAGAGGATGTGAAGATGGATTATGTGTATGATTACATGTTCCATCTCTTAAACGAATATGCAAAGCTTTTGAAGTTTAAACCTACCATTCCACCACAAGCCTTAGAGCTTTGCCCGGAAACAATGGCGTGTCCGGCGGACGGAAACTGGAGGAAGTTCATGGAGGAATCGTTGGTGAAGTCTCCAGCCGACTCGATTCCTTGCACCATGCCTCCTCCCTATGATCCTCCGGCTTTTGGAGCCTTTTTTGAGAGAAAGGGAAAATCAGCAAGGCAAGTGGAGATGTGGGAAAATGAGTATTGGGAAAAATTGGAGAAGAAGAAGCAATGAAGGCTTTTTTGCATGTTTTGTAATTCTAACTTTTAACTTATGATGAGTTTAGTGGTAATTAATAGAGTAATATAAGCTCAGAAGTCCAAACACAAATCAATACTTTACTTGGTAAAAATTTAAGTGTAAACACTATCTAATCTACCAAATCCAGATTACAATCGATACTTTTTCATCAATTTTCCTCCTTGATAAATTACTCACCATGTATTAATCAGAGACTCGACTACATACCCCAATTCCCAACTTGAAAGAATAGGGTAGATGATATTACTAAAGATGAAAATGGGGGAAGAGCGTATTAAAGAGAATTTTACTATCAATCTACAAGTGTTTATCTACTAAGCGTTACTATTTATTTTCTTTGAAGTTGAAATACTAAACAACGCTGCATTAGTTGATNAGAAATAAGAAAGTTGCATAACCAACTTTCGTAGGTTGAAGAAGATGGGATTTTGGAAATTATGGAAACATCCCTTTAGTTTTAAAGAGCTTTATTTTAACCTCTTTATTCTTCTAAACTTAATTTTAAGTACATTTTTACTTGGTAAATTACAAGAACAGAATTCTGGAAAATTTATGGATGCCCGAAAATAGAAAATTCGTTTTTCAAGAAAATTATACTTTGACCCCAAAAATTTCAAAAATTATGATTTGCCCTCAAAACTTCATAAACTTTTTTCAAACAGCCCATAATACTTTCATACCCTATTACCTCATATTATAAAGGATATTTATATGTAAAAGATATATTAANGCTAGGGCAGCAAATAAAATCAAATATAAGGACTCAGCTCCTATTTTGATATTTTTCTCCAATTATGCTGAAAATAGTGTAAAATAGGGCTAGGGCAGCATACAAGGTGACATGAATTAGAGAAGAATTTTGCCCATTAAGCACTTTTTCAATATGAGGACTCAGCTCCATTTTGATATTTTTCTCCAATTATGCTGAGAATGACCCTCCATCTGTCTCTTTTTTTTTTTGTTTTCAAGTTCAATATTAGAATTAGTTCAAATTGTCTTTAATGGTAGGGTTCTTACACACACCTGAGGCTGAACTTCGGGTAAAATTTTGGTTATACTTGAATTCACTAATTCAATCTGAGTCTCAAAAAACTGTGACTCCCAGCCAAGTATTGTTCAATGTTAAATTGGTTCAAGATTTTTTTCAAGCCTAACGCAATTACGTGAAATCTTTCACTAAAATACTAGATATTTCGAGATGGAACGGATCCAATACAAATTGACCAGCCTAGGTTGCACCCTACTAAAGAAGGGCATCCTAAATTATGGAGTTCCAGGTGGTTCAACCCGAAAAAAAAAAAAATAGTCCAAAGAAAACAAATTAGGAGGACATTCCTTTAGAGACTCACTGATCATAATCTGACCATAAGCCCACCCTTTGAGAAGTCTTCCTTGTGCAATAATCTTTTTTGTCTCTGATTATTCTTGACAGTTACGTTGAACAAGTCTATGTATGACCCAAGACTAACCTAACTTAAGACTAAGGCCTACATGAATGCAGTGGTTTAATCATGTCTCAAACATCTTCTCTGTGATACTGTTATACCAGAACGGTTAGTTTTAGTCTCTCTCTCTCTCTCCCACACACACACACACACACTCAGAGTGTTTGTGTGTATGTTTAATGAGGCCTTGTCTATTCTGAGATGGGATAAATTAATGCAGTATTCGAGTTTGATGATCATTAGAATCATGGGAAGAGTTAAGTTATGAAGACATTTATGTCATTTTTATTTAATATTCTTATTTTGTTATTGTGAAAATCAGATGATTATCTCCAGCTAACTAACTGTATTAGTGATAGGGTTGTGTGTTGATCTAATTTAGTGGGTGCGAAACTTGTGCATTAAAGAGTCCTCTAAGATTATGACTTGTATATATATAGTGGTGGCCCCATTTTCGTTCTAATCCCATTACAGTCTTCCTGTTTGATTTCACAACGAAAAGACAAAGGGAATAATAGAGTAGAAAGAAGACCATCTCCTTTGAAAATTGGGTTCTTTTCCTCTCTAACAGATATGGATATAGGTATGATTTGTTTACCATTATTATTCAGGATCAAAATTTTATTTTGAAATGGTTAAAACATTTTAATTTTTGAGAAGATTGAAACAAATCACTAGATCAAAATTTGAATGATTTAAGGTGGTTTAGAATATTTCGAGGTGTTTTATTTCAGAATGATTTGAAAATAAACTTCTAGATCTTTTATTTGTTTTCATTCGATTTTCGAAATGTTTCTATTTTTTATGTGATTGAAACAATGCACTGAAACCAAATTTTGATCTTTGATTATTACAAATATGCTTATAAACTCAGATTTTATAATTATTGGAAGGTGTTTGTAAGAAAAAAGAGTTGATAATTGAAGAAATTACTGTTGATGCAGATCATAAATCTTGGTTGAATGGAGCCCAAACAAGGTGTTCAACAACAATCAGCCAGGCACTGAAGCAAAAGGTGTTCATCGGTGCCTTTGTTGCTACCAATTGGATTGATATCGTAAGTCTTTCCCATGCACATAATTTGCGAATTCTTTTCTTTTTCTCTTTCCTTTTTCTTGTATAACTAAAATGATTTTGAATTGAGGGTAGAATTATCAATATATAAGTTGTTATCAATGTCCGGTTCATATCGTATTTAAGTTGTAGATTTATTCAAGCTATACTTGATCGATCTATAATTGTTTATAATGATGTTCATGTCGTGTATAAATAGTACATCTATATAATAAAACAGGAGTGTGTTTGAATTTTATCCCAGTCATATTTTTCTCCTCAAAATCATCACCAATCACTTACCTCACCCATCATTCCTTTGTCAGACTCAAACGTCAAATCATATCACTTATTTCTATCACATATTTAATCATTTATATATTTTATCCCTAAAGATATCACACTGCTCATTTCTATTATATATTTAATTATTTAATATTTAATTAATTTGTAATTAATATATTTTGAAAAAATTTAGTATAGTGAGAACGATTTTTTGGACGCTCGAATTTTATATTTTATCATACCTTCAAGCACAGGTTCTGACTAGTAGTTGTATACAGTGATTATAACTGATCAATCCTATATTATAATGCAAATTCGTTAAGATTAAACTCATACACATATATGGAAGGCTCTTAAACTCATACACTAGTTGTTAAAAAGCATGACTTAGTCGGGTCTTTGAACTAGGGATCGCATTTTATTGTGTAAGTTTAAGTTGTGTCGTGTCAAAATTTATTCAATTCATACTCTATTTATTTATAAGTATGCATAATAGGGTTATGGTTGTGTCGATTTTGTGTCATTGATGGATGCATCTATTTCTCATACGAACCTACTAAAATTAAATTCAAATTCACTCATTCTTCGGCAACGTATGTCGTGTTTAGAATTATTGGCCCTACTTTAATCCGTCAGAATTACTATCTTTTTTAATTGTTGGTTTGTTATCAAGTCTATTTTCCCAGGTGCTTCATCTCGAAAGACACACAAAACCTCTACAGAAAGTATACAAAAAATTGAATATTCACTCAACTGTTCCTCTGAAAACACCCCCACAAACATGCCCAACAACTTATCCGACACAACACAAACCCGACTATATATCACCGGAAGCCTGTCCAAAATACTTCCGGTGGATCCACGAAGATCTAGAGCCATGGAAAAGCGTATGAATTTCGAAGGACATTGTAGAAAATGGAAAAAGAGGTGCACATGTTAGAATAGTGGTGGTGAATGGAAGAGTTTATGTGTAGAAGTACAAGAAGGCTTATGGGACAAGAGATGTGTTCACATTGTAGGGGATATTGCAACTTCTGAGACTGTATCCCAGAAAGTTGCCGGACTTGGGTTTGTTTTTCGGATGTGGCAACCGGACGGTGATCGGAAAAAGGGACTACATGGGTGTGCATCCGAGAAAAGCACCGCCGATGTTCCGTTACTGTGGTGATGACTCATCGTTGGACTTGGTTTCCCTGATTGGTCTTTCTGGGGATGGTAAGCCATTTTTTGTTTTTTTTCTCGACTCTGGTGTTTTTCACATTACACTTTAATTATGACTAATTTAACAATTATTTATTATATTTTGTATATTACATCTTCAACTATAATTTATTTTTTTATTTCTTCTCAACTATCACATTTTTCACACTACATGTTAGTGTAATTAATTTGTGATATTATTTTTGAAAAGAGATGTTAGTGTAATTAATGAATGAGGAATTATAGGGCTATTGTAGGGCTTCTTTTATTTTGTACATACTTATATGTAGGCCGTCAAAATAGGGCAAAACAAAAAAAAGAAAGAAAGGAGGATTCTGTCGCTAGAGAAAGAGAGAGAGAGAAAAGGAAGGAAGAAAAAGAAAGAAGAAGGGATTTGGATCTATTGAAGGTATGAATCCATCATTTATTTTATAGGTTTTATATTAAATCACATATTGCTAGTTTTATCATAATCTATATATGTATATATATATATATATATATATATATATATATATATATATGTATATGCGAGTGTGTGTTCATAATGGGAAATAAAGATGAATATATAAATAAATTTTATCACAATATATTAATTCTATGTATTATTAGACCTAATTTAAATTGGTTGATTTTGAGACTTGTAGATAATTTAATTATGTGTTAAAAGAAGAAGAAAAACAAAGAAGGAAGAAATAAGAAAGTTGCATAACCAACTTTCGTAGGTTGAAGAAGATGGGATTTTGGAAATTATGGAAACATCCCTTTAGTTTTAAAGAGCTTTATTTTAACCTCTTTATTCTTCTAAACTTAATTTTAAGTACATTTTTACTTGGTAAATTACAAGAACAGAATTCTGGAAAATTTATGGATGCCCGAAAATAGAAAATTCGTTTTTCAAGAAAATTATACTTTGACCCCAAAAATTTCAAAAATTATGATTTGCCCTCAAAACTTCATAAACTTTTTTCAAACAGCCCATAATACTTTCATACCCTATTACCTCATATTATAAAGGATATTTATATGTAAAAGATATATTAAGTATATATCAATGAGTGGAAGGTATAAAAATTAAATATAAAATCGCGAAACGACGAAGTTAAAAATAGGGATTGATTGTGATATGTTATTTTGGATTAGGTGGTGATTGCATTGAGGTTGAAAAAGAGTGCTTTGAATTGAATTTTGAAAATCAAGGTGAGTAATTTACTACTTCTTTTAAGAGGATTTTCTATATTAAACTTGTGGGTGCGTGTGTGTGAATTTTTCATATATATGATATATGTTAATGTTTGGGGTTGCAATTGTGAATTGTTATACATGTGAATTTGAAAAGTTCACGGGATAATTTCATATCATTGCTTAAATGTGTTTTGGTGATGAAAGATAAATTTTATGTGCGATGGGACTAAAACAACAGTTTTAGTATTTGTTGAAATCATGTTTTATGAGAAGGGAACTGGGTTACCAGGTCTAAATGGCAACGAGATTGTATACCGGCGTGGTCAGTATAGGAATGTGCACATAGGAGCCAGTTATCAAGTTAGTAGTAACAAGAGACGAGGTCAGTCATCAGGCTAGTGATGACAAGAGACGAGACCAGTTACCAAGCTAGTGGTAACAAATATGATTTGACAAATGTATTTGAGATTGAGTACGTGTGTGTGAGTATTTTGAGTTATAAATGTCTTTTCATTTATAAAGTTATTCGTAATAATTAGATTATTTTGTTTACATGATTATGTGGAAGGGATTGAGGTACAATTTGTTGTACTTATGTANGTTATTGTGAAAATCAGATGATTATCTCCAGCTAACTAACTGTATTAGTGATAGGGTTGTGTGTTGATCTAATTTAGTGGGTGCGAAACTTGTGCATTAAAGAGTCCTCTAAGATTATGACTTGTATATATATAGTGGTGGCCCCATTTTCGTTCTAATCCCATTACAGTCTTCCTGTTTGATTTCACAACGAAAAGACAAAGGGAATAATAGAGTAGAAAGAAGACCATCTCCTTTGAAAATTGGGTTCTTTTCCTCTCTAACAGATATGGATATAGGTATGATTTGTTTACCATTATTATTCAGGATCAAAATTTTATTTTGAAATGGTTAAAACATTTTAATTTTTGAGAAGATTGAAACAAATCACTAGATCAAAATTTGAATGATTTAAGGTGGTTTAGAATATTTCGAGGTGTTTTATTTCAGAATGATTTGAAAATAAACTTCTAGATCTTTTATTTGTTTTCATTCGATTTTCGAAATGTTTCTATTTTTTATGTGATTGAAACAATGCACTGAAACCAAATTTTGATCTTTGATTATTACAAATATGCTTATAAACTCAGATTTTATAATTATTGGAAGGTGTTTGTAAGAAAAAAGAGTTGATAATTGAAGAAATTACTGTTGATGCAGATCATAAATCTTGGTTGAATGGAGCCCAAACAAGGTGTTCAACAACAATCAGCCAGGCACTGAAGCAAAAGGTGTTCATCGGTGCCTTTGTTGCTACCAATTGGATTGATATCGTAAGTCTTTCCCATGCACATAATTTGCGAATTCTTTTCTTTTTCTCTTTCCTTTTTCTTGTATAACTAAAATGATTTTGAATTGAGGGTAGAATTATCAATATATAAGTTGTTATCAATGTCCGGTTCATATCGTATTTAAGTTGTAGATTTATTCAAGCTATACTTGATCGATCTATAATTGTTTATAATGATGTTCATGTCGTGTATAAATAGTACATCTATATAATAAAACAGGAGTGTGTTTGAATTTTATCCCAGTCATATTTTTCTCCTCAAAATCATCACCAATCACTTACCTCACCCATCATTCCTTTGTCAGACTCAAACGTCAAATCATATCACTTATTTCTATCACATATTTAATCATTTATATATTTTATCCCTAAAGATATCACACTGCTCATTTCTATTATATATTTAATTATTTAATATTTAATTAATTTGTAATTAATATATTTTGAAAAAATTTAGTATAGTGAGAACGATTTTTTGGACGCTCGAATTTTATATTTTATCATACCTTCAAGCACAGGTTCTGACTAGTAGTTGTATACAGTGATTATAACTGATCAATCCTATATTATAATGCAAATTCGTTAAGATTAAACTCATACACATATATGGAAGGCTCTTAAACTCATACACTAGTTGTTAAAAAGCATGACTTAGTCGGGTCTTTGAACTAGGGATCGCATTTTATTGTGTAAGTTTAAGTTGTGTCGTGTCAAAATTTATTCAATTCATACTCTATTTATTTATAAGTATGCATAATAGGGTTATGGTTGTGTCGATTTTGTGTCATTGATGGATGCATCTATTTCTCATACGAACCTACTAAAATTAAATTCAAATTCACTCATTCTTCGGCAACGTATGTCGTGTTTAGAATTATTGGCCCTACTTTAATCCGTCAGAATTACTATCTTTTTTAATTGTTGGTTTGTTATCAAGTCTATTTTCCCAGGTGCTTCATCTCGAAAGACACACAAAACCTCTACAGAAAGTATACAAAAAATTGAATATTCACTCAACTGTTCCTCTGAAAACACCCCCACAAACATGCCCAACAACTTATCCGACACAACACAAACCCGACTATATATCACCGGAAGCCTGTCCAAAATACTTCCGGTGGATCCACGAAGATCTAGAGCCATGGAAAAGCGTATGAATTTCGAAGGACATTGTAGAAAATGGAAAAAGAGGTGCACATGTTAGAATAGTGGTGGTGAATGGAAGAGTTTATGTGTAGAAGTACAAGAAGGCTTATGGGACAAGAGATGTGTTCACATTGTAGGGGATATTGCAACTTCTGAGACTGTATCCCAGAAAGTTGCCGGACTTGGGTTTGTTTTTCGGATGTGGCAACCGGACGGTGATCGGAAAAAGGGACTACATGGGTGTGCATCCGAGAAAAGCACCGCCGATGTTCCGTTACTGTGGTGATGACTCATCGTTGGACTTGGTTTCCCTGATTGGTCTTTCTGGGGATGGTAAGCCATTTTTTGTTTTTTTTCTCGACTCTGGTGTTTTTCACATTACACTTTAATTATGACTAATTTAACAATTATTTATTATATTTTGTATATTACATCTTCAACTATAATTTATTTTTTTATTTCTTCTCAACTATCACATTTTTCACACTACATGTTAGTGTAATTAATTTGTGATATTATTTTTGAAAAGAGATGTTAGTGTAATTAATGAATGAGGAATTATAGGGCTATTGTAGGGCTTCTTTTATTTTGTACATACTTATATGTAGGCCGTCAAAATAGGGCAAAACAAAAAAAAGAAAGAAAGGAGGATTCTGTCGCTAGAGAAAGAGAGAGAGAGAAAAGGAAGGAAGAAAAAGAAAGAAGAAGGGATTTGGATCTATTGAAGGTATGAATCCATCATTTATTTTATAGGTTTTATATTAAATCACATATTGCTAGTTTTATCATAATCTATATATGTATATATATATATATATATATATATATATATATATATATATATANGTTAAAAGAAGAAGAAAAACAAAGAAGGAAGAAATAAGAAAGTTGCATAACCAACTTTCGTAGGTTGAAGAAGATGGGATTTTGGAAATTATGGAAACATCCCTTTAGTTTTAAAGAGCTTTATTTTAACCTCTTTATTCTTCTAAACTTAATTTTAAGTACATTTTTACTTGGTAAATTACAAGAACAGAATTCTGGAAAATTTATGGATGCCCGAAAATAGAAAATTCGTTTTTCAAGAAAATTATACTTTGACCCCAAAAATTTCAAAAATTATGATTTGCCCTCAAAACTTCATAAACTTTTTTCAAACAGCCCATAATACTTTCATACCCTATTACCTCATATTATAAAGGATATTTATATGTAAAAGATATATTAAGTATATATCAATGAGTGGAAGGTATAAAAATTAAATATAAAATCGCGAAACGACGAAGTTAAAAATAGGGATTGATTGTGATATGTTATTTTGGATTAGGTGGTGATTGCATTGAGGTTGAAAAAGAGTGCTTTGAATTGAATTTTGAAAATCAAGGTGAGTAATTTACTACTTCTTTTAAGAGGATTTTCTATATTAAACTTGTGGGTGCGTGTGTGTGAATTTTTCATATATATGATATATGTTAATGTTTGGGGTTGCAATTGTGAATTGTTATACATGTGAATTTGAAAAGTTCACGGGATAATTTCATATCATTGCTTAAATGTGTTTTGGTGATGAAAGATAAATTTTATGTGCGATGGGACTAAAACAACAGTTTTAGTATTTGTTGAAATCATGTTTTATGAGAAGGGAACTGGGTTACCAGGTCTAAATGGCAACGAGATTGTATACCGGCGTGGTCAGTATAGGAATGTGCACATAGGAGCCAGTTATCAAGTTAGTAGTAACAAGAGACGAGGTCAGTCATCAGGCTAGTGATGACAAGAGACGAGACCAGTTACCAAGCTAGTGGTAACAAATATGATTTGACAAATGTATTTGAGATTGAGTACGTGTGTGTGAGTATTTTGAGTTATAAATGTCTTTTCATTTATAAAGTTATTCGTAATAATTAGATTATTTTGTTTACATGATTATGTGGAAGGGATTGAGGTACAATTTGTTGTACTTATGTATGTATCAAAATTGATTTTTCAGTAATGCTACAGTAACCAAATTTTGGGACCAAATTTGGAGCCTAAATGACATGACAGCTTACTTGGGCTGATTTTTTTAGTGTCATGTCATTTGAGCCCCAATAAAAATCTCAAATAATATGTTGTCATGTCATTTAGGTTCTAAATTTGGTCCCAAAATTTGGTCAATGTATCATTACTCTTTATTTTTGTATATAAATTGTGGGATTTATTTTCACACCTCATTAGAGGTGGTTGCTATTCACGGGTCTTTGTGCTCACCCAAACATTTAACATTTTTCAGGTGAGAATCAGGAGGAAGAGTNTGGTTAAAACATTTTAATTTTTGAGAAGATTGAAACAAATCACTAGATCAAAATTTGAATGATTTAAGGTGGTTTAGAATATTTCGAGGTGTTTTATTTCAGAATGATTTGAAAATAAACTTCTAGATCTTTTATTTGTTTTCATTCGATTTTCGAAATGTTTCTATTTTTTATGTGATTGAAACAATGCACTGAAACCAAATTTTGATCTTTGATTATTACAAATATGCTTATAAACTCAGATTTTATAATTATTGGAAGGTGTTTGTAAGAAAAAAGAGTTGATAATTGAAGAAATTACTGTTGATGCAGATCATAAATCTTGGTTGAATGGAGCCCAAACAAGGTGTTCAACAACAATCAGCCAGGCACTGAAGCAAAAGGTGTTCATCGGTGCCTTTGTTGCTACCAATTGGATTGATATCGTAAGTCTTTCCCATGCACATAATTTGCGAATTCTTTTCTTTTTCTCTTTCCTTTTTCTTGTATAACTAAAATGATTTTGAATTGAGGGTAGAATTATCAATATATAAGTTGTTATCAATGTCCGGTTCATATCGTATTTAAGTTGTAGATTTATTCAAGCTATACTTGATCGATCTATAATTGTTTATAATGATGTTCATGTCGTGTATAAATAGTACATCTATATAATAAAACAGGAGTGTGTTTGAATTTTATCCCAGTCATATTTTTCTCCTCAAAATCATCACCAATCACTTACCTCACCCATCATTCCTTTGTCAGACTCAAACGTCAAATCATATCACTTATTTCTATCACATATTTAATCATTTATATATTTTATCCCTAAAGATATCACACTGCTCATTTCTATTATATATTTAATTATTTAATATTTAATTAATTTGTAATTAATATATTTTGAAAAAATTTAGTATAGTGAGAACGATTTTTTGGACGCTCGAATTTTATATTTTATCATACCTTCAAGCACAGGTTCTGACTAGTAGTTGTATACAGTGATTATAACTGATCAATCCTATATTATAATGCAAATTCGTTAAGATTAAACTCATACACATATATGGAAGGCTCTTAAACTCATACACTAGTTGTTAAAAAGCATGACTTAGTCGGGTCTTTGAACTAGGGATCGCATTTTATTGTGTAAGTTTAAGTTGTGTCGTGTCAAAATTTATTCAATTCATACTCTATTTATTTATAAGTATGCATAATAGGGTTATGGTTGTGTCGATTTTGTGTCATTGATGGATGCATCTATTTCTCATACGAACCTACTAAAATTAAATTCAAATTCACTCATTCTTCGGCAACGTATGTCGTGTTTAGAATTATTGGCCCTACTTTAATCCGTCAGAATTACTATCTTTTTTAATTGTTGGTTTGTTATCAAGTCTATTTTCCCAGGTGCTTCATCTCGAAAGACACACAAAACCTCTACAGAAAGTATACAAAAAATTGAATATTCACTCAACTGTTCCTCTGAAAACACCCCCACAAACATGCCCAACAACTTATCCGACACAACACAAACCCGACTATATATCACCGGAAGCCTGTCCAAAATACTTCCGGTGGATCCACGAAGATCTAGAGCCATGGAAAAGCGTATGAATTTCGAAGGACATTGTAGAAAATGGAAAAAGAGGTGCACATGTTAGAATAGTGGTGGTGAATGGAAGAGTTTATGTGTAGAAGTACAAGAAGGCTTATGGGACAAGAGATGTGTTCACATTGTAGGGGATATTGCAACTTCTGAGACTGTATCCCAGAAAGTTGCCGGACTTGGGTTTGTTTTTCGGATGTGGCAACCGGACGGTGATCGGAAAAAGGGACTACATGGGTGTGCATCCGAGAAAAGCACCGCCGATGTTCCGTTACTGTGGTGATGACTCATCGTTGGACTTGGTTTCCCTGATTGGTCTTTCTGGGGATGGTAAGCCATTTTTTGTTTTTTTTCTCGACTCTGGTGTTTTTCACATTACACTTTAATTATGACTAATTTAACAATTATTTATTATATTTTGTATATTACATCTTCAACTATAATTTATTTTTTTATTTCTTCTCAACTATCACATTTTTCACACTACATGTTAGTGTAATTAATTTGTGATATTATTTTTGAAAAGAGATGTTAGTGTAATTAATGAATGAGGAATTATAGGGCTATTGTAGGGCTTCTTTTATTTTGTACATACTTATATGTAGGCCGTCAAAATAGGGCAAAACAAAAAAAAGAAAGAAAGGAGGATTCTGTCGCTAGAGAAAGAGAGAGAGAGAAAAGGAAGGAAGAAAAAGAAAGAAGAAGGGATTTGGATCTATTGAAGGTATGAATCCATCATTTATTTTATAGGTTTTATATTAAATCACATATTGCTAGTTTTATCATAATCTATATATGTATATATATATATATATATATATATATATATATATATATATATANATAGAAAATTCGTTTTTCAAGAAAATTATACTTTGACCCCAAAAATTTCAAAAATTATGATTTGCCCTCAAAACTTCATAAACTTTTTTCAAACAGCCCATAATACTTTCATACCCTATTACCTCATATTATAAAGGATATTTATATGTAAAAGATATATTAAGTATATATCAATGAGTGGAAGGTATAAAAATTAAATATAAAATCGCGAAACGACGAAGTTAAAAATAGGGATTGATTGTGATATGTTATTTTGGATTAGGTGGTGATTGCATTGAGGTTGAAAAAGAGTGCTTTGAATTGAATTTTGAAAATCAAGGTGAGTAATTTACTACTTCTTTTAAGAGGATTTTCTATATTAAACTTGTGGGTGCGTGTGTGTGAATTTTTCATATATATGATATATGTTAATGTTTGGGGTTGCAATTGTGAATTGTTATACATGTGAATTTGAAAAGTTCACGGGATAATTTCATATCATTGCTTAAATGTGTTTTGGTGATGAAAGATAAATTTTATGTGCGATGGGACTAAAACAACAGTTTTAGTATTTGTTGAAATCATGTTTTATGAGAAGGGAACTGGGTTACCAGGTCTAAATGGCAACGAGATTGTATACCGGCGTGGTCAGTATAGGAATGTGCACATAGGAGCCAGTTATCAAGTTAGTAGTAACAAGAGACGAGGTCAGTCATCAGGCTAGTGATGACAAGAGACGAGACCAGTTACCAAGCTAGTGGTAACAAATATGATTTGACAAATGTATTTGAGATTGAGTACGTGTGTGTGAGTATTTTGAGTTATAAATGTCTTTTCATTTATAAAGTTATTCGTAATAATTAGATTATTTTGTTTACATGATTATGTGGAAGGGATTGAGGTACAATTTGTTGTACTTATGTATGTATCAAAATTGATTTTTCAGTAATGCTACAGTAACCAAATTTTGGGACCAAATTTGGAGCCTAAATGACATGACAGCTTACTTGGGCTGATTTTTTTAGTGTCATGTCATTTGAGCCCCAATAAAAATCTCAAATAATATGTTGTCATGTCATTTAGGTTCTAAATTTGGTCCCAAAATTTGGTCAATGTATCATTACTCTTTATTTTTGTATATAAATTGTGGGATTTATTTTCACACCTCATTAGAGGTGGTTGCTATTCACGGGTCTTTGTGCTCACCCAAACATTTAACATTTTTCAGGTGAGAATCAGGAGGAAGAGCAAATCCCCGAATAGACAAAGGATTAGAAGAATTGAAGATTTATTTTATTGTAAGTTTTCAAGAATGAATGTCTTTTATGATTTTGAGACAAATATTTAATTGCTTTGGGAATAATGTTGCTCGTGTTTAAACTTTAAAGTAGTGAACCTTATAGTTTAGTTATTGTTTTACATGAGTTTAATAATAATGTTGGTGATGTTTAGTTTATTACTCTGGTGTTCATTAGGTCGATGAATTGAATCACTTTATTATTTGTCTTCCGTTATATTTTATATTTATTATGCACATAGTTGGTTGATTAAGACCTTGGTGGCCGGTCCACTGCCCACCCTATGTGATCTGGGGTGAGGGTGTGACAATAAGACCAAGTGGGTGGAGAGAGAACCTTATGCTTACTAGAAAGGTAATGCTAGAGTTAGCCTAACAAGACAAGACCTCATGAAGTGTTACATCATAGACAAACAGGACTAGAATGCTCAGTTATATACCCTGGTAATAACTCTACTCTCTGAAATTCTAGTTCCACCCAAGCATCATTGGTTTAGTAGGCAAACAAGAGAAAAGACATAAATTTATGCCTCCTAACAATTTAAGTTCCACTCGATGCATGTAATTTGCAAATAACTGCATATATCCAAAACTTGAATTTATAATTCCAATAATGGAGGGGAGGACGCCACTCAGCAACTAGGGTGGGTTCAATGCCTAACAAAAATGGCCAAAAGCAAATAGGCAAAAAAGAGATGTATGGCTAAAGGAGGGAGGGAAAGATCGCATGCATAGAGATTCTGTCTGTCGAAGGGACATCTAAGGCTAAGAAAGAATTCAAATAAGTATATTACGGAGAGAAATGGTGATGATCTCGTCTGGCTTGCTTGCTGGAAGAGAGGAAGCTTCTCTGGACCACCTTTTCCAGCCAAATAGTAAGCGATTGCGTGCTTGTTATAATCTCGAAGGCCAAAAGGAAAAGATCTAGCCAAACGACGAGGTGAACTAGTCAAAATAAGAAGTGACAAGTTTCTGGTGGCCATTTAGCATGTCTATACTATGATTGTGTGAATTCCAATTTATTGTGTCGACTCCAAGGTCCAAGAAACATCATACAGTCATGCTGTAAATTCGGCACAATACCGAGACGTTTAAAAATTTACGATTTTATTGGATCAAAATTATTATTCAGTATGGTTCATAAAGGTTATGATTGACACTAGCATGTTGTGGATCAATTCTAATTAAGTTGATTAAGCCGTTGTTGTAGATATGATATCAAAAAATAACATGTAGTTATAATTAGAATTTTTGCAGGACTGGAATCACGAGTATCGAAAAGGGTTCAAGCATACCAATTTAGCCAGCCTATGTCTACACAGGTGGGCCATTATAACTCTCTCCCCTCTTCATCATTGTTTAGTTTTTTTGGCTCAATTCATGCAGATACAAGATCTATGTTGAAGGAGTTGCATGGTCTGTGAGTGAAAAGTATATTCTTGCCAGTGATTCTATGACTTTGCTCCTAAATTCTCGTTACTATGATTTCTTCACAAGAAGTTTGCCACCTATGGTCCACTACTGGCCAATAAGCCAGAATAACAAGTGCCAATCAATTAAATTTGCAGTTGACTGGGGAAACACTCATCCAGAAAAAGGTGACTTGTCTATCTCTAACATGCATCTATATATGTTTTGGGGTTAACCATTGAAATTGTTTACTTTAACCTATTAGTTTCGTACAAAATAAACATATCGTGTTGAAAATTGTCAACCTCGTGTATGTGCATGTTAAATCATGTGTATTCTACTTAATTCTCTCTCTCTCTCTCTCCCCAACTCCACTGTGAGTCAGGCACAAGAGATTTGAAAGGAAGGAAGCAAATTCATTGAGGAGGAGCTAAAGATGGAGTATGTATATGACTACATGTTCCACTTGCTGAATGAATATGCAAAGCTCTTGAAGTATAAACCCACTGTACCTCCAGGAGCCGTTGAAGTCTGCTCAGAGACAATGGTCTGCAATGCCAAAGGGTTAGATAGAGAGTTCATGATAGAATCCATGGTGAAGAGTGCTTCCAATAAAAGACCTTGCACCATGCCTCCTCCCTATAATGATTCTGATCTTTAAGCTTTTCTTGAGAGAAAAGTAAATCTAACAGACAAAGTGAAAATGTGGGAAGGAAGTGGGAATTTTAGTGGCTTTCAATTCTGATTAGCAACTTTTTTTTTTGNCGATTTTTTGGACGCTCGAATTTTATATTTTATCATACCTTCAAGCACAGGTTCTGACTAGTAGTTGTATACAGTGATTATAACTGATCAATCCTATATTATAATGCAAATTCGTTAAGATTAAACTCATACACATATATGGAAGGCTCTTAAACTCATACACTAGTTGTTAAAAAGCATGACTTAGTCGGGTCTTTGAACTAGGGATCGCATTTTATTGTGTAAGTTTAAGTTGTGTCGTGTCAAAATTTATTCAATTCATACTCTATTTATTTATAAGTATGCATAATAGGGTTATGGTTGTGTCGATTTTGTGTCATTGATGGATGCATCTATTTCTCATACGAACCTACTAAAATTAAATTCAAATTCACTCATTCTTCGGCAACGTATGTCGTGTTTAGAATTATTGGCCCTACTTTAATCCGTCAGAATTACTATCTTTTTTAATTGTTGGTTTGTTATCAAGTCTATTTTCCCAGGTGCTTCATCTCGAAAGACACACAAAACCTCTACAGAAAGTATACAAAAAATTGAATATTCACTCAACTGTTCCTCTGAAAACACCCCCACAAACATGCCCAACAACTTATCCGACACAACACAAACCCGACTATATATCACCGGAAGCCTGTCCAAAATACTTCCGGTGGATCCACGAAGATCTAGAGCCATGGAAAAGCGTATGAATTTCGAAGGACATTGTAGAAAATGGAAAAAGAGGTGCACATGTTAGAATAGTGGTGGTGAATGGAAGAGTTTATGTGTAGAAGTACAAGAAGGCTTATGGGACAAGAGATGTGTTCACATTGTAGGGGATATTGCAACTTCTGAGACTGTATCCCAGAAAGTTGCCGGACTTGGGTTTGTTTTTCGGATGTGGCAACCGGACGGTGATCGGAAAAAGGGACTACATGGGTGTGCATCCGAGAAAAGCACCGCCGATGTTCCGTTACTGTGGTGATGACTCATCGTTGGACTTGGTTTCCCTGATTGGTCTTTCTGGGGATGGTAAGCCATTTTTTGTTTTTTTTCTCGACTCTGGTGTTTTTCACATTACACTTTAATTATGACTAATTTAACAATTATTTATTATATTTTGTATATTACATCTTCAACTATAATTTATTTTTTTATTTCTTCTCAACTATCACATTTTTCACACTACATGTTAGTGTAATTAATTTGTGATATTATTTTTGAAAAGAGATGTTAGTGTAATTAATGAATGAGGAATTATAGGGCTATTGTAGGGCTTCTTTTATTTTGTACATACTTATATGTAGGCCGTCAAAATAGGGCAAAACAAAAAAAAGAAAGAAAGGAGGATTCTGTCGCTAGAGAAAGAGAGAGAGAGAAAAGGAAGGAAGAAAAAGAAAGAAGAAGGGATTTGGATCTATTGAAGGTATGAATCCATCATTTATTTTATAGGTTTTATATTAAATCACATATTGCTAGTTTTATCATAATCTATATATGTATATATATATATATATATATATATATATATATATATATATATATAT